TACATACATGCTAAAATCAACTTTGAAAGAAGACTTAAGGGGTCTCCCTGCCACATAAGTCAGCAATGAGTTCAGGTGTCTCAAGTTTGCTGGAGCTTTAAAGTTGTAGGAGAAAGAGTGGCAGATCCTGGCCCAAGGAGTAAGGCCCATTGGGTGAGAGAAGGGCAGACTTGAAAGGGATGGGAAGAGGGCCAAGCCTGACACCTCAAAGATGAAGTGCAACAGCTCTGAAATATTTATCTGGAGCACCCTCAAACTCTCCCTCCCAGCTATTTTAGGCAGATAAGGAAGCTGAAATTTGAAGTCTACCATCTCCTTTTTGAGATCAACACTCCGCTAAATTTTAAAAATGCTTGAGCTTGGTTCTAAGTTTTTTGTTTTGCAGATAAAAAGACAGAAATTTAGAGACATCAGGTAAATTGTTGCAGGGAAGATATGGCCTACAGCAGAGGAGCGGAGCCTGGGTAGGAGAAGACCTAGGATAAGTCACCTGTTCCTTGCCCACTGACCTCTTGCCACACAGCTTCCTCAGGGGAGCCACGGGGAAGGAAGTCAGGCTTTGGTCAGGTTTGACTGTGGCCATAGTTCTGGATGCTTAAAGTGTTGTTGGGCTAACCTTGGAGAGTGTGGGGGATTTCATGCTCATTCCTAGATTCCGGGGTACAGTGTAACAGAGGGGAGGGTGGCAAGGTTGTGCTGTAATTGAGTGGAATCCCTGAGCCTGAATTCATATTCACAGAGCCCTTTGGCATCTGTGCCTGGCACCTCAGCAATGCCCCTCTGGCCCTGACCAACTTCTCAGCTTGGTTGGCTCAGACTTCCCACAGGAGGTAAGACTATTCCTTTGAGGTTATGGGGGGATGGAAACAGGGCCTTTACCAGCCCCCAAGAGGCACTCTCATGAGATCCAGCACCCCCTTAAATGGAAGTAGATAGGAGGAAGTCCCCAGGCCCACTCTCTAACCACAGACCCAAAGCTTTAACGAGCTTTGTGTTGGTTTTTCACTGTAGTTCAGTTATGTGAGTTGACATCTTTCTCTAGACCACCTTTTTTATTGAATCATTGTGAGATACAATTGCAAACTTTCATGATTACATTTCAATTATAAAATGATCAAGCACCCATCCCTCCACCAGTGCACATTTTCCACCACCAATGTTCCCAGTATCCCTCTCACCACCCCCACCCCATCCTACCCCCTACCTCTGTGGCAGGTACATTCCTTCTTACTCTCTCTCTACTTTTAGGCATCATGGTTTGCAAAACAGATACTGAGAGGCCATCATGTTTGGTTCTTAGTCTACTTCCAGCACATATCTCCCATCCTGAGTGATCCCTCCAACCATCATTTACTTAGTGGTCCTTTCTCCATCCCAACTGCCTTTCCCCCCCCCGTACATGAGGCAGGCTTCCAAACCACAGAGCAATTCTTCTGACCCTTATCTCTACTGTCCTTAGGTGTTTGTTCATATTATGTTATTTTATATTTCACAAATGAATGCAGTTATTCTATGTCTAGACCACCTTTTTTGCCTCCCAGGTCACTGAAACTTGGGCTTGGGTATCTGGTTCAGCCAATGGAAGCACTCATCAATATCCTTGCATGCCAGAAAAAGAAGTCATGGGATTAAAAAGAACAGGGAGAGGAGGAGATGGAAAGAAGAGAAAGAAGATCTTGACAGTTCTCTGGAGGCAGTGCCTATACAGGGAAATGATCTGATGATTCAGTGCTAGCTGATTGGGAGTGGGTGGGTCTCCCGGGGGATCCATTATCCACACAGAGTTTTTCCTAGGAACATTCAAGCACTGTGCTCTGGAGTAGTGTGGTGGGTGGGAGTGATACAGTAGGAGTGGAAGGGTGGAGCGCCAGGTTAATTTAGTCAGCCACTTTAATTCTCGCCTTTGAACAGGTAGCCAATCAAAACAGATAATGGGGAGGCTTGGGGTGGGTTATGGCAGCAGATAAGAGGAAGCCCCCAGCCCCATTCTCTCTCCTACACTCTCTCCAGACCCTCTGTTGCACCTGTCTGACAGATTGCAGGATCAGATAGGGCTCCCTTCCCAGATAGATGGCTGAGCACAGGCAGGCCTCATGGCATGGATAGTAGCCGAATACAGGCAAGGCTGACGCTCAGGAAACACAGATTTGAGCAGGGCTTAGATGCCCCCGTACTGACAAATACCAAGCACAGGAATCTTTCCCACTTGCAAATGGAAGCTAAAAAATTTTCCGGAGACTAGGAAATCCAGGACAGGATGGCAAAAAAGAACTATCTCACTGGATCTCCTTTGGGTGGCCCCATGACAGGTACAGGTGCAGGGGTCTTGTTCATGTGTACGTGGCTGTGACCAGAGACTGAGAAGTGTACATGGTATAGAGAGTATCATAGGGGCAGAATCTAGCTATCATTCACAGGAGACAAGACAGGGATGAGGCAACAACAGGGACAAGACAAGTGAAGCTGGTCCCATCTACTTTAGTTGTACAATAAACTCTAACTTCTTAACCTTCAGAATTTTGTATGCAAATCCTTCATATAATTTTCAAGAACCCACCAGCACAGGAAAATTCACTAATAGGATGATTCACAAAGAGAAATAGCAAAGAGACATTGGTGACCCTTCATAAGCACTGGAAGAGCAGAGCCTATGCTATCCCTTGTTAGTAACATGGCCCTCAATGAGCATTCGATCTCCTCTGCAGAGTGAGGACTAATCCATGTGTTTTGGAAGCACTGCAAGTAACTGAGCTGTCCCAAGATCCTCAAGTTGAACTTTGGGTCTAAGAGAGAAGACACAGCTCCAAGAAAAACATAATTCGTTTCACCTCTCTGCCTGTGAAGGGATATCTTTTATCACTGGAGTCTTCTTGGGGTACAAAAGATGACCCATGCTGCTTAATGGTCTGTCACTCGCTTAGAAACTCTGAGACGAATGAAGGGGTCTTTCAACTAGTTCTTTGAAGCAACAGGACCTTCACCCAAGGGCGGTGGCATTCAGGACCCTGTTTTAGATGTGAGAAACTTGAGTTTCAGGAAGTGCAATTCTATACCACATGACTGATTTAGAAATGCTTTATGTACACACATCACTTCCATTTATCCAACAGGAAGGATTATGTACTTATTTTTTGTTTTGTTTTGTTTTGTTTAAGGAAACACCCAGTGTTCAGGATTTACTCCTGGCTCTGTGTTCCGGGATCACTTCTGTTGGGGCTCAGGAAACCCTTTGCAGGACCAGAGATCAAACCCAGGTTAGCAATATACAAGGCAGGCATCTTATTTGCTGCACTGTTTCTCCAACCCTCCTTCTTTTAATTTTATATGTTTGGGGTTGAGCAAACCCAGGGCCTCATATATGTGAAGCATGTACTTTACTACAGAGCTACGTATGTCCTTCATTTTCTTTCTTTTGGGGTGGGGAGAGGACACACCCAAACAATGCCCAGGGGGCCCCAAAGGGCCCAAGGGTCTAACTCAGGCAAGGCATGTCCTCCAGTCCTTTGAGTTCTCCTCCTGTTCCCCTTTATTTTTAAAAGGTCAGTTCCGCATCCTCACTGTTCTTTTCATGGGGTGGCTTCCCCCAGAAAGCTCGACCTTCTCCTTCACACCGGGCAAGAGGTTTCCAGAAAGCAGGAACTTTGCAAAAGGCACCCTGGCAGGGCGCAGCCCCTGGCTACACTGGCAGCCACTAGGTCTGCAAAAGCAGTGCAGCAGACCCAATGTCCAGGGAGCAAACAGTCCCGTTCTCTGGCTGGAATGACACCCTTACTTGATTTTGATTTTTCTTTGCAATTCTTTCTACATATATGATTACAGATGGGGGTTCAGGCCCATTGATCGCTGCTACTGAGCTGTTGGAGTGTTGCTCTTGTACTAGCTGGGTTCTTCTCAAAGCTTGTTTCCTGGTTTGTCCCGCTAGGAGCTTGATAAATGGGCTGGAGTGGAGTAGACTAGCTCAGCGTTTCTCAAAGTGGGTGATACTAGTCCTTGTGAAGGGGGCATTGGGATGATCCGAGAGGGGGTAGCAGCCTCCCGTAAGAGGGGAGGAATTTATTGTTTCTGCCGAGGCCACAATCTACAGTGCTCAGAGTCTGCTTCTGCGTAGGTGTTTGGGGGTCCAACGGGGAGTCATATGCTGCAGCCGTTTGAGCCATCTCCCTGGCCCCTTGAGTGCTATTATCAGCCCCCTCACGCACACTTCCAAACGGGTGAAATAAGCTTGGGATTTTAAACTCAGTCAAAAGTACAGCTCAAGTGCCTTGCGCAGAGCGGGCCACCTGTCCTGTCCGGCACAGGTCATCGTCAGTCTCAACGTGCCGTGTTCTCTGACCGGCAGGACCCACTGCAAGCCTGGAAGGACTCTCAAACCCAAGGGCGTCCTCCTCCCCCCTCCAGCTCGCGTCCCTACTGAGTGCTGGGGAACCTTCCTTCCCTTGCCAGCATTGGGCTTTGAGGGGACTGCAAGGCTGAGGGTTCAAGACACCTTTTCACTTCCCCAGGCGGCCCAGCGTGGGGCTTGAGACGGAGGAACGCAGGGGTGGGGGTCGCTGGGAGTCGCCCCCCTGTGTCGGGACCGTGTGAGTGTGGTGTGTGTGGGGGGGTGGGGGGAAGTGCTTGCACGCGCGAGCGCGCCTGGGGTGGGCGTAAAGCCACACTCTCTTGGACTGGGTCTAAGAGCACCCGGGAGGGTGAAACGGTGACGGAAGGGGAGCGGGGGCTCAGGGGAGAGGCTGTCAGCGCCCGGGGCCCTGCCCGAGAAGCTGGGGGCGGAGCGGGAAGCGCCCGGGCGGGCCGGGGGTCTGGGCGGTGCAGGGGGCGGGCCCCGGGGTGTCGACTGGCGCTCGGTGCCGGGCCGGGGCGGTGCGGGGGGCGGTGCCGCGGGTGGCCCCGGGCGGGCCGCGTCGCGCGTGTCTGGGGGCGTGGGTGCCGGGGGCGGCGCCGGGGGCGGTGCCGGGGGCCGCCCCGGGAGGCCGGGCGACCGTGTGGTGGGTGTCGGGCTCGGAGCCCGTCAGGCCTGTGCGGGGGATGGCGGCAAGCCGCGTGCTGGGGCGTCTGGTGCGGGGGCGCCTGGTGGGGCTGCGGGCGTTCTCGGGAGTCCCGCGGGCCCCGTACCCGGAGCTGCGCGCCCAGGCGGCCCGAGACCCCGCCGCCTTCTGGGGACCGCTGGCGCGGGAGGCGCTGCAGTGGGACGCCCCCTACCAGAGCGTGTGCGACTGCGACCTCCGCGCGGGCAGAATCGCCTGGTTCCTGGGGGGCCGCCTCAACGTGTCGGGTGAGTCCCGGCCCCGACCCGAGGGGAGCCGCAAGCGGCCCCCGGCCCCCGCACCCGCACCCTGCTCCCGTGCGCCGCCGCTGGAACCCTGCACCCTGCACCCTGCACCCGGGTACTGCCGCTGCCCCCTGCCCCCTGCCCCCTGCCCCTGCACTCTCACCCTGCACCCTAGCGCCGCGGCTGCCCCCTGCCCCCCCACCCTGCACCCCGGTGCAGCCCCTGCCCCTGCACCCTGCACCCCGTCTACGCCCAGCGCTTCCCTGCCCCTGTCCCCTGTCCCCCAGCGCCGCCCCTGCCCCTTGCCCCCTTACCCCAGTCCACCTCGGCTCAGCCCCACTCTTGAAGGACCTAGCTAGATGCCAGGCCCCGGGTCCTGCCGCCTGAGTTTTGCAAAGGTGGGGGTGGGGGGTTGTCGGGGGTCGCGTCCTGAGGAGGGAGTACGGGGGAGTCGCGGGGAGTCGGGGGCAGCGCCCGACGCCCAGCATCCGCCTGTTGCTCCCGTCGCCGGCGGCCTGGGGATGCCGGCGCGCGCCCGCGGGCACACTCATCTGGGTGCCGGCTTGGTTTGCTTATGGTGGGTCTTCTCCCAGCCTCTCTCACAGGCCCCCTGTGTCCAGCGGGCCTCTCCGCTCGGTTCTCTGGCCCCGAGGACTCCGCCCCTAGGTTAGCCCAGAAACCAGGGCCACCCCCGCCCACCTGGCCTTGTGCCCGCAGTTCCGTTAGGGTTTGACACGCAAGCGGGACTCCAGGCAGGCTGAGGGGGACCGGAGGAATGAGGGCCTTGACTGGGCACGTGGGCACGTCTGGGGCCACTACCAGTGAGGGTCAGAGCTGCACGTGTGGTTAGGGGGGATGGAGAAACCGCAGATGGGGTCTAGGTTAGGTGGGGTCGGGGTGTTCAAGAAGACGACCTGAAGCTCCAGGTTCGCTTTTTTACTTTTTTACTTTTTGGGACATACTGGGCTGTGCTCAGGGCTCTCTCCTGCCTCTGTGCTTAGGGGTCATTCCTGGAGATGCTCAGGAGACCGTATGTGGTGCAGGCATGGCAGAGTGCAAGGCAAGCCCCTAAACTCCTACCTCTGACGTCAAGACCTGCTGCTCTGTCTTCCAGGGGTGCCCTGCCCAAGCCCTGAGCTTGGAGGTAAGCTCTGAGTCTCACAGAAATATATCATTCACTGAACCTCAATATCCTAATCCATAAAATGGCTTGACAGTGTTCCTGGCCAGGCTGATCCTGAGAGCAGAATGCCCAAAGGCACAGGCCTAGCGTTTACTAGTAACCAATAAATAGCAGTACCTGGAAATTACTATGCTCAGCAATAGCCAGAATAAGTGGTATTGTAGTTGTTTTTCAATAAAGACATTTATGAGGAGTTTGGAGGGGTTCATATTGTACTTATTTCTGCCGCTTTCATCCAGATGAGTTGCATGGTAAAACTTGAGTTGGTGGAACCTGCCCTTTGAGGGGAGGAGGATGAGGAAAAGAGCTTGTGGGCTACTATGCAGCTGCCTTGGCACTGAGGGGGTGTGTGTGGAGGGGTGGGGATGGCGGTGTCAGGGCTTGCTCATGGCTGCCTCACCCTGAATTGCCGCCATAGTCAGATAAGACGGTGAGGTTGGGCCTCACAGCTCCCAGGGAGACTCACCAGCAGGGGCGGGTGTGATCAGCAGGTAATATTTCTGCCTCCTTTGGCTTATTTCTTCTAGGGATAGAAGAAATGGTCACCCTCAGCCAGAAATTGGCACTTCAGGAAGTGCCTTGGATGAAAATAGCTTCCCCAGCACCCTCGGGTCAAGGGGTGTGTCCAGCTCCCTGCCAGAGAAAGACCCTCTGTCCTCTACAGTGGCTGCAAACCACTGAAGTGACAGTGTGAATTAGAACCATCTGTGAAATCGACCAGGTGTGCTGGCCAGGTGGTGTGGCAGCTAGATGACAGCTTGCTGCAAAGCATCCTTAACTCCCATCTCCCGCAGAAAGATGCGACTGTGGTCTTATCCACAGTCTGAGTAGCTACTCAGTGCTCCTCAAAGTGTGGTTCCTGGGACAGCAGCTTAGCACTGTAGCACTGTAGCACTGTCCTCCCATTGTTCATCGATTTGCTCAAGCGGGCCCAGTAACGTCTCCATTGTGAGATTTGTTACTGTGTTTGGCATATCAAATACGCCACGGGGAGCTAGCCAGGCTTTGTGGTGCGGGCAAGATACTCTCAGTAGCTTGCTGGGCTCTTCGAGAGGGACAGAGGAATTGAACCTGGGTCGGCCAGGTCAGTCATGCAAGGCAAATGCCCTACCCACTGGGCTATCGTTCCAGCACAGCATGGGAACAGCAGCATGGGGCCTATAAAGGCAGCTTCAAAGGCCCTAACCCAGATGACTGAATTCAGAAATCCTGGTCAGGATTGAGACCCATCAACCTACCTCAAACCCAGATGAGAAGGCACTTCTGAGCCAGGCGGAATTGGGAGATAATATGAACCCAACACAGGGCAGAGGGGAGTTAGGAAGGTTTGGTGATTCTGGGTGTCTTTGGGATCACAACGGGCTTTCATGCCTTGCTGTCTTCCCTTACTCTACTTGGCTTGAGTTCCCTTATTTGAAAATAAGGGCAGCACGTAATGCATTTCTGTAATATGGTTGCAGATCCAGCCTCCCCACAGCTCCTTGGGATAAGACAACGGCTATTTTGTTACTCTCGGGTTTCTGTGACTCAGGACTTTGGACAGGGCCTGGCAGCAACTCTTTCTCTAGCTCCCCGGGGCCTGGGGCCCTTGTCATCTGCCTGTTTCCTACACCAGGCTGGGGCTGGGCTGACTTCAAGATTGGTCTTTAACCAGAACTGTGCCCCAGAAACGCAGGAACTGGGCCTGTGTCTCGTGCATGCTCAGGACTGAGACCCACCGATCCGTCTATCTCAAACCCAGGCGAGGAGGCACTTCGAAACCAGACAGAGGTGCAGCTGCATCAGCTCTGTGTGGCCAGGGTGAGGTGGCAGGGTGGGGGGCGTTTGTTCTTGGCTGCCTCACCCTGAGCTACAGCCATAGTCAGATAAGGGGGTGTGGTTGGACCTCTCAGCTCCTAGAGAGAGGTCTGATCACCAGCAGGGGTGAGTGTGGTCAGCAGGTAGTATTTCTGCCTCCTTTGGCTTATTTTTCCTAGGGATAGCCACTTCATGGTTACCCTTAGCCGGAAATTGGCCCATCAGTTACCCTCTGCCATCTACAGTGGTTCTGAACTGTGACCCAGATGCTATTGGGCCTCTATCTGCTGGTCGGGTGGAGGAAAGTTCCCATAGAATAGGCCCAAAGTTCTCAGACGCCTTTTGACTGGGGAAAGCCAGCGCTATCTTGAGCTTTTAACTAGAAAGCGCTTGCAAAGCACCCAGCACTCTGTGTTATGAGGCGTGCACCCAGCCACTGTTACTTATTGACAAATCCGGGAGGCCGGGAGACAGCTGTGATCTGGAACCTTCAGCCATGCTACTGAGTTCAGTGCTTCTTTGCAGAGCCAGGTGCACGGTTCGCCCCTAGCCAGTGTGGTGGCTGCTGACTTGACTCCTCAAGCCCACTCTTGTCAGAGACTTTTATGTCTCTGACATAAAACTGCTTTTGTCGAAGGCTCTTTGGAAAGCCAGCTTCTGCAAAGAATTCTTTCTCATCTTTAAAAATCGACACTGCACTCCTTGGTTCCACAGATAATTTTCCCCCTCAGATGGTTATATACACTCAAGATATTTGGCAGTTGCAAATGTGAAATCTTAGGGTTGCTTTTGAAACTCATAAATAAATGTTTTTAAGCACCACATTCTGAGCCTGATTCTTATTTAAAGTGGGAGTATTCCACACCTCAAGCAAAGGTGGAGAAAACTATTTTACACCTACTGTTGAACCTGGTTGCTTACTGGAATTTTTTTCTGCAGCTGTGGAAGCCTTTCTTTTTAGTAACAGTAATTTTGAAGACAGGTACAATGCTGCTGTGTCATTCCTTTTTCTTGATGCTTAAAATCATTGTCTAAGGACCTTCACACCCTCCAAACCCAGGTCTCTGGAGAAGAGACCTCCCCAGGGATGCTGAAGGCCCCTCAGTTGTCCATAGCATAACTTACTTTAAATAGCAAATGCTCCTGGCAAGTTGGCAGATACAATTTTTGTGACTGATGTAATATCTTAAAATGGGCCAGGGAGACTTTCTATTTAAAGAAAGCCCATGGAGAATCCTTTTGTGAATATTAACTTCCTAGTTTCCTTTGATCAAAACTGATTTTTTGGTATGAGGGTTCACTTAAAGTTGGAAAGGGGGCAGACATTTAAACAGGAGTCCTTGAAAATGACTGTATGGGCCTGTGTTACTTTTATAATAAAAACCATAGGCCTCGTGTCTTTTTTTTTTTTTTCAGAGACACTGAGCACAGAAGCTACCAGCAGGCATTTGCTCAGGCCTGGGGCAGTGATTAGGACCATCCTTGCACTGTAGGAACCCAGGGCTGGGCCTATTGATGTGGACATGAAGGTTTTGACCCATGAAACAGATTTTCCAAGGTCACAGGAACTGGACCCCCAGGCTTATGAAAGTGCAGATCTTCACTGGGATGACTTTCTGGGCCTTTCCAGCTGCTAAGTGTGCTCCTTTCCTTCTCCCCTGTCCTCTGGAAAATGCATCTTAGGACATGGACCCTAGCTTTACAGACCTTGAGGCCCAACTGAGGGGGAGGGTAAGGCAAGCAGAGGTGCCCTTTGTTCCTGAAATAGACGCCAGACAACAGAGGGCTAAACCCTAAACAGTTTGGGTGTGAGTCACTGAGAGGAAAGTAGGAACTCCATGTGCTGGGATTTTGAAAAAGATTTGGAATAGGTTGTACACTTTGAGTAAACATTGGATTGTGCCAGGTCCTTGCCCAGCTCTTCTCGGAAATGCCTTTGGACAAAATCCTGGGGCTGGAGGGATTATAGAGCAGGTCACCTTGCACGTGGCTAATCTCGATTGGATCCCTGGCATTCCACATGGTCCCCGAAGCACTGCCAGAAGTAATTCCTGAATGTAGAGCCAAGAGTAACCCCAGCCAGGAGCATCACTGGGTGTAGACTCCCCAAACAAACAAAATCCCAGAAATTTCTTCCTGTTTCTGTCCCTCCTCTCTCCTTTCTTTCCCGACACCTGTGACCATAGCAGGAACCATTGCTATGAAGGTTAAAGTCCATGGAGAAGTGGCCTTTCTGGGTCACTGACCCAGAAAGCACAGTGACCTTCACTGTGCTTTCTCTAGGACCTGTGTCATCAGAGTTGTTAGGGCTGCAATTGTGACCAGAGCCAAGCTACCACATCACTCTACCAGGGAGCAGGAAACTCTCAGATGATGTCTGATACTCGCAATCCCTCCTGAGGTCGGGAACTCTAGGATTAGGAAAGGGATTTTATTTATTTAATTTACTTTTTATTGAATCACCATGAGATACAGTTACAAAGCTTTCATGATTAGGTTTAGGAAAGAGATATTTAGATCAAAAAACAAATGTGCTGTGTTGGGATAGTGAGGTTGAATAGCCCCCCTAACTCTGAAGTGTGACTTTCATTGGTGACTTGAGAACTTCCAGCTGTTTGTCAGGAAGTGTTTGTCCGGGAGATAGTTTCAAGATTTTTCCCAAGGATCCTGCAAAGGCCGTGCTCATCCCAGAGGGGTTTCAGAGGGCCTTCAACGAGCTTATTAATGGTGCAGGAAAGAAGGGACTTTCCTAGAAGTAGAGGTTTATCTCTGTAATTAAGTTATTCTGTGATAAAGGGCTTGTATGGGAGAGAAGTGATTGAGGAAGTGTTTCCCTGATAGATGAAAAATAACTTAAGCTTCCCCACCTCTGCTAAGAAGTGGTATATTAGGTTTCACATGGTGTGTTATGTAATGCTTGATAACAAACAAATATGACTCCAGATTCCATTCTGCAAGAATGTAGCTGGTGTTTTAGGGAGCTAGTGAGGGTCTTTACTCCTGTATCTCAAGGAGAAAAACATGCCTGAGCCCAAAATTTGGAAAACACAGATGCAAGTGTGAGCAGACATCAGCCTTCCAGAGAAGCTCGGACCCCAACAGCCCCAACACTCCAGGCTCGCTGGAACTCTTTTAGGGCCTGGAATGTTTGGAAACAGACAGACCTGCTCACGGGAGCACTCAGACACATTCCCCAAACTCACTTGGGCCAGAAAGCCCTCTGGGTGCTGGGGCACACAGACATTTGTATTCAGGAAGCAAACCGACTTGCTTCGGAGGGAGGCTGTGGATTGAGAAATGAGATGTTCCCTCCTCCAGGTCTGGGATAACTTGGTGCTATTCCTACCTAAAATAGCCTATCCCCGGGGTTAGATCTTTTCACATCTCTGTTCTGGGTTTTTGCTGCACAGCTTAGAGTCCACAGAAAGGCGTGTGCACATTGAGCACTTGAGAAAGCATAGGTGAGAGCCTGGGAAAAGGCTGACCCCAGAGCAGAGTGGAGAAACCCAGCAGGAAGACACTTGGCAGACTAGGCTCAGCCAGTGGACCCCCAGGCTGTGTGGCATAACCCAGAGCAGCCCATGGACCTCCCGTCTCAGTTGTGCAGCATAAGCCACAGCAGAGACGTGCAACTAATCTTCAGATTCCAGTAAGCAGCAGGTTGGAACAGTTTCTTTAGCAGTCACATGAGCAAACTTACAGGAGTGGGAGGGGAAGGAAACTTCTCCCTGAAAAGTCAGCTGAAAAGGAAACTGACAGTTGCGTCACTCCATGGCACAGACGCTGGTTTGTGGGTGTTTACAGATGCCCAAGATGGTCTGTTACCCTTTTGCTAGGTTGTGACCCCACCATATACGTGGGCCCTTCACAGCTGCGTGTGTGTGTGGGGGGGTGTCTTGTTGGCATTCAAGGTGCCTCCAGAGCCACAGGCTACAGTGCCAATCCCAGGTGCACCTTTTCATTCTGCAGGGAGCCTTGGTTGGTTTGGGTTTGGTTTGGTTTGGTTTGATTTAGGGGCCCCACCCATGGTTCTAAGGGCTCACTCACTCCACTCTTGCTCAGGGCTTTCTCCTGGTGGTACTCCTAGAACCCTGTGCAGTGCAGGGGTTCTAACCTGGGTTATGTCTCCCAGGGAACCTTGGAAGCCACATGGTCAGGTGGGTCAATGTTCCTGCTGGGTGCAACCCAGCTGAGGCCAGTGGCATGGCCAGATGGGAGGTGCTGACACGAAGCCCCTGTGTTAGAGGCTGTGGGCCTGTGGGTCCACAGAAAGGGGTGTGCACATTGAGTACTTGAGAAAGCATAGGTGGGAGCCTGGGAAAAGGCTGATCCCAGAGCAGAGTGGAGAAACCCAGCAGGAAGACACTTGGCAGACTAGGCTCAGCCAGTGGACCCTCTGACTATGCGGCATTAACCCTGACAATCACCCTTTCTCTCCGGAGGTTGAAGCCTCACCTCTGTGTAAGTGTGTTCTTAATCACAGAGTACCCGAGTCATAGCAAGCCAGACCCTGCGCTGCTCCCCACGGCAAAGCACCCCATGTAACGCCAATCACCCTGTTTTCATGCAGTCAACTGCCTGGACCGGCACGTGCAGACAGCTCCAGAGAGCATTGCTTTGATCTGGGAGCGGGATGAGCCTGGAACTGAAGTGCGTATCACCTACAGGTAACTTGTGACAGCCAGCATCAGCACCCTGTCTTTTCTGGGTCCCATGCCACTGCCAGCACTAACAAGGTTACCTGTCACCTCTGGGAGCGGGACCATCGGGAGGAAGCCTGGCTTTCTGTGGGCAATCCTGGGGGTCTGCAGAGCCACAGGGAAGGAATAAGGTCTTTGGAAACAGAGAAGACACGTCTTGTGACACAGAAAGTCTCTTGCTCAGACCAAGTGCTTGTGTCTAGAGAGGGGCTTCTCTGAGAACCAGAGCTCACATTTCAGCTTTGGAAATGTTCTCCAACCCAGAGATGGGAACATGAAGACCCAGGCTGTGATAGATAGGCTCTGGACGTTCCCAAGTTCATTTGCACTGACACCTCTTTTTCAGGAAAATATTTGCTCAGCTCCCTTCCACCTAGAAACTCTCTTCTCTCAGAAGGCAAACAGAAAATGCTCTCCCAGGACCCCAGTTATCTTTCCTGCCCTTCCCACCCAACTCTGATGCAGAATCAGCTACTGCGGGGTCACCTGCGTGCCCCGAGAGCCACTGATCCTCCTGCCCCTTTGGTGGCTGATAGCACCTCTTAATTTGTGTTTGTTATTCCAGCTCAGTTTTGTGTCGCCCATAATTATAAACTGCTGTTGGCTTGTCTTTGAGATACAGAAGTGCCACGTGTCACTACCCTGCAGCTCCTCCCTTCTACCCCAGCCTCTAGTGTCACTATTTCCCTGGCTGTCTCTCCACGAGGATCCACCCTCAGCAGCTGACAGCTGGAGACTCTGGAGTCCAGATACTGGGACCTGTGCACACTGAGGTCTGGGGGACACTGAAGTTGTCAGCTGGCACATTCTGGTCTCACTGTTGTAGCTCAGCTGTTGAGTGAGACACGAAAGCAGTGAAGTACCGAGGCAGGACAAAGGATGAAATGTCGGGCATGGAGGGCTCCAGAGCCTCTTACCTGGATGCTGCTGGGAAGTTTGACAGGAGCCTGATGAGGTGTGTGCTTAGGTGTTGACCATGCAGGAACTGTCCTCAGGATCACAGGATTGCAGCTGGCATGGGCAATTCAGAACCACTTCAATTCCCAGTACTGAAACAGCCCTGGCCAAGGAGAAAGCTAAGGGGTCCGGGTGCGATTTATTTTGGCACAGAATTGGCTGTCTCTCCAAAGACAGACTTAGCCTGAAATGGTCTTACAGATCTTATTGGACTCAGTACCAGATGACTATTTCTGTTTTCCATTTTAATAAAAATAATTCATGCTGGTGGTCACTAATTATAGACTGGGTGCTTTGGACCTGAGTCTTTCCTCCTCCCTTTCAGAGGAAAGCCACTCTCCTTCACTTTTGGTGCTGGTGGTCCAGTATTCAGATCATTATGAAAATAAGGTGCTTTCTGCGCTGAGTCTCCTGCAGTAGCACCGTAGGTGCCCCAACGCCGAAGGCCTGGGCTCAGAGGCCGAGCTGTTCCCAGGGCCCAGTGGGGCTGTGATGCTCAGAGACTACATTGCTGGCAGCTGCCGTCTCCAGAGCCCAGGCTTGCTGTGTACCAGAGCTTAGGGTGGCCTCAGGTCTACATGGTAACAAGTCCCTTAGGTTTTCCACACCATCCCTAGATGATGACCAGAGGCGGAAACGCCCCATTTTACTCCCTGTGGCCTCAGGGACAGGAGGTAACGGTTGTCAGGTCCAGGACCCACCCTGAGGACCGGCATTGTGAACCTTGGCTCTGTTTGCACTGCATTCAGCAGCCTGCACGTCTTGGGTCTCTGTACTTTAGTTCCAGGGGCACCTCCTGCTGCCTGGGTGATCATGTGAGGCCACATAATATGCCATCAGTAAACCCAGGATGATAATTATAAACCAAGTCCTTGTGTGTAGCAGGATGAAAGAAGAGAAGGGGGAAAGTGAAAGTACTATAAACAGTCATCGTTGAGACAGTCGCAACTTAGGGAGTACTTATTTGGTGTCAGAAATGTTATACCTGAGTTATTCTAGTTATGTTTTATTTATTATTTTAATGGATCGATTAATTTTATTTTGTTTATTTAATATTTTTTGGGCTGGAGCGATAGCACAGCGGGTAGGGCGTTCGCCTTACAAGTGGCCAACATGGCCGACCCGAGTTCGATTCCTCCGCCTCTCTCGGAGAGCCTGGCAAGCTACCGAGAGTATTCGATATGCCAGACACAGTAACAACAAAGTCTCCAATGGAGACGTTACTGGGCCCGCTCGAGCAAATCGACGATCAACGGGAGGGCCTTTACCTTTACCTATATTTTTTAGTTTGACACTTTTTAAGTAGGGCAGGTGTTCTCTGCCTCCCACCTAGACTCCATCCTTCCATGTTTTACCATGTCTTTCTGGGGTGTGAGCAGGGAAATGCTCCCCCAGCTATGGCGGAAGTCCCACCAGGGCTACACTCGGTGCTCAGGGACCTCTAGGGCTCAGTGGGGGGGTGGCAAGAGGGTGATGGGGATTGAATCAGGGACTCAGGCACGCAGCCTTTGTGCCATCTCTGGCTTTTACAATGTTCAATCACCTCTAATTTTTCATCCAACCCTTCTTCAGTCCTTTGGACTTATTTTGGGGGACATTTCTCCGTGAATTGTGGACATCAATGTTTCTATGGTTGTTTGGGTGCATATTTTTCCCTTTGAGTGTTTTATTTTTTCTCTTTTGCTGTGAAATTTGTGTATGTGGAATATTATGTATGAGGAAAGGGGATGCACACAGTTCTAGATGTTCATCAGTGTGAGCACTTCTGTTAATCCAACCCCTGTCTTGGTGCCCCAGGAAATTCCTGCATGTTTTCTCACTCACCATCTCTATCTCTGGAAGCAACTATAGACCTGCTTTTCTTACCCGGAGGTATGATATTTTTTTTTCCAACCACACTGACAGTGAACTGCTCATGAGGAAATTGATCTGACTAGGGACAAATGCCCTTGGGTGGAGCCACCACTGCAGATGCCCTGGGTACCACACAGTGTGCCCTCAGTCCCCAAGGTCCAACTTATGGGCTTGGTTCCTGATGTGCCACACACGTCAGGTGATGTATAGAGCCTGTGACATGAAGTCTCTAGCAGCCCAGTCATAGGAATCGCCATCATTTAGCCTGGGTTCAGGAGACAGGCCTTTGGGGAACCCTTTTGGGTGGTCTAAGCAACAAGCAAGGGAAGACAGACATGAGAGACACCTTTGAGAAAAGCTTGCTTGGAGGCTGGAGCAATAGTACAGTGGGTAGGGTGTTTGCCTTGAATGTGGCTGACCCAGGTTCGATTCCCAGCATCCCATATGGTCCACTGAGCACTACCAGGAGTAATTCCTGAGTGCAAAGCCAGGAGTAACCCCTGTGCATCACTGAGTGTGACCCAAAAAAAAACATAAAAAAAAAGAAAAGGAAGAAAGAAAAGCTTGTTTTAAGACTGGACCATTTACTGGCAATATGATGTCTCACGGGGACTCCAAGGGTAGGAAGCAGGCTTAGAGAAATCTTGTGTAGTATGGGAGGGTGGGTGTCTCTGCTGCCCACTTTGTGAGCTGGCTGAGCAAATCTCTGCACTTCCTTGAGTTTTCTCAACGTCATCTGCAAAATGGAAGCCTGTGTCTCACCCAGTGAGAGCCCAAGTAGAATCCGGAAGCCTGAGGATCTCCTCTGCCCATAGATCGGGACTGGATGAGGGAAGAGCAGTGGGAAATCTCAGATCTGACATGGGTGAGGCCCAGTGGCCTTGTGGTTCCTAGACTTTGAGGACACAATTTCAGATTCACAGAGCAGAACTCTGCCTGGTGGGGGCACCGGAGTCAGCTAAAATTGGTGGCCTCTGGCCTCATTATCACATCTGACCTTTGTACCGTGGTGCTCTGCTCAACCCCAAACTAATGACTTAGTAAGCAAACTCCCTTAGTGAAGTATTCAGGCAGATGGTGGGAAGGATCCTTTACTGGAATACTGAGGTGCTGGGTGGGGAGCTTTCAGTTGATGCATTCATTTTGCAAGACTCCCAGTGCCCAGGGCCGCCTGGCATGCATGGGAAAATCTCTTTGCTCCCTGATTCGGAAAGAGAGGCCAGTGACGCATGGACAGTGTCCAGATCCAAGTCGGGGTGACCTCCTCACTAGGCAGGGGGGCCGTGGACAGAGCTCTTTACCCTGCTGACCTCTGACTGTGATTGCAAAACCTGGGCAGGAATCTGCATCCTGACTCCCGCAGTCTGGTTGAAACCAGAGTTGCTTGGAACATGCTGGCCTTGAGCCAACACTAACTTTTGCTTAGGTCTCTGACTCAGATAATGAGGCTGGGAAGCGTCGAATTTGTCTTTGTGCTTCCTTTGCGCCAGTGAAAGCTCCAAGAATCTCCAGTTTTGGAATTCCCACAGGCGCACTAACCTAGACCAAGAATTTATCCTGATGCCAGAGAATCACCTCTGGGGAAGCCTTAGATTCTAAGAATTGTCTCGGGCATACAGGGTCAGAAATAGAAGAGCCTATTTGGAAGAGCCTGTCCAAGAAAAGCCTCCCTTTGAGGAGACAGGGGTCTCATATTTTAATCCCCTTCTGCTGTTCAGGGGTTGTTGGAGGGTTTAGCTGGTCATGGGAAGGACCCCTGAGAAGGCTGAGGTCTCCAGCATGAGTTTGGGGCTGGTTCCTTAAACCTCTTGGCTTTCTGCCCAGTAGGGTGCATCTTTGTCTTCAAACACTTTGCCCACCCCCCCCCACGCCCACCCACCCCTTCCTACCCCTGCATCCCTTCCCTACTTCTTACTGTATCACCAAGTGAAACTCAGAGCAAAGAGGTACTTGTTTTAGGTGGATTTTAAAACCCAGCCACTGCTCAGTAGGAGCAAGTCCCTGATCTCAGCACCCCTTGCCTGGAGGAAGTTGAGGCTGGATCAATCTCCTGCTGCCCCCGGATGGCAACCTGGCCCGTTGGGTGTGCTGGTTTCAGACGGGGGTGGAAGGGGGGATGACCCTGGACTTATGCTGTCCATCCCATTTGTTTGGCC